GCGGGCCCAGGGCCGGCGCGGAGGGGAGGAGGGGGGCCGCGCCGGCCGGCGGCCCCGCGTCACGGTGGACAGCTCCAAGGCCAAGACCTCGCTGGAGGCGCTGAAGATCAGCCTGCGGCAGCTCCGCTGGAAGGAGGTGAGCGCCCGGCAGCCCCCCCGGCCCATCGAACCGGCCCTTAGGAGGCTCCTGGGGCTCTGCCCGGGGCCTTCTTCCCCTTCCCCGCCTGGCCCCCGGCTCCGGCAAGGGCCCCGGCCCGGCCTAGCGGTGGTCCCAGCTCTGGCCTTTCCCTCCGCTGCCCGCCCTGCTCTGCCGGGATCTGGGGAAACCTCCCCTCCGTTGCCTTGGGGTCTGCCTCTGGCAAAGGGTTTCCCCTTCCCCCTCCTCCTCCTTCCCCTGTCTCCCTGAACGTGCGCCCAAGCAGGCTCATGGACTCTGGGGGGCTCATCGCGGCTGGTGTCATCTCGGTGCTGGGGTTGTTTCTAATTAGATGTCAAGTCTGGAGGCTGATTTGATTCATGACCAAGAGTGCTATCACCAGTTATGCAAGCCAGAATATGGGTAATCGGATATTACGCTTCAGAGCTTAAACACATCACTGGAAAGGGCAAGAAAGAAACCTACCCCTACGTAGAAATGTTTGGTGCGTTGTGTCAGTTTGCGTTTCTTTCCTTTCACCCTTCCCTCATTGTATGTGTACGTGAAATAAGGCTCATGACCATGAACGAAAAAGTATGACCTGATAGATCAGCCGTCTGATCCGATGGTAAAGCCTCTGCGTCGCAGATTATCTTGAAGGCGTGTCAAAGAGCATTGTGTATGAATGAAATGATATTAAGCCGTCTATTAAAGCATACGTAACAGGCTTTAGCCTTCTAAATTGTTGTATGTAGAGAAGGCATGGCTTTTTTTTTTTTTTTCCCCCTACAGCTTGAGTCATATGTTCTCTCTGTGCTGTGTGAGGAGTTCGGTGTCAGCCTGTGTCTGCTGAACTGGAGTCATGACAATATGGGAGCTGGCACAGAACTGATGCTTTGGAACTCCTTATTTAAATCCTGAAGAGATTTCTAATATATATTTTATTATAGATGCTAAATTTTTCTCAAACTGTAAAGATTTTCTTTCCATAATAACTTTATAAATGGCTTTATAGAAGTTGAAACGGCTTCTAGGAGCTTTTCGAGGAACTTCTGTAAGAAAAAGGGTACTTGTAATCCATTTGGAAGAGAGAAGCTGGAGGGGACGTAAAGTGGAAAGATAAAACCTGAGGATGAACTGTTTGTTTGTGTGCAGAGCTAGAGTGCAGCAGCGTGATCTGTGGCACCTGCTTCACTTTACGAAGCTGGTTTTGGGCTGCCCACTCACAAGATACTAATATTTCTGTGCACCTGATACTTTTTTAACAAAATTTTTACGGACTTGGGGTAGACAGTATATTCTGTGTTGTTCCTAACTTCAGAGTTAAACGCTACAAATTTATTTTCTGGAGGATTGAGTAGCAGTAAATATTACCTGTATTTGTTCATAATGTCCTAAATACCTAATACGACAGACATATATGCTCCTCGTCAGGAAGAGTAATGCTTTCTCATTCTCTAGTTTTCATAAAATTTTATTTCAAGATTTTTGTTATTTAAATCCAGTGGGAGAATTTCAAAATCTCATTGCACAAATACTCCAGTTCTCAACTCCTGCTCTTACAGCAAAATAGCAATGGATCACCAGAGGCATGAAATTAAAACCTCTTACGTGTACTTCTCTTACCCTTCAGTGCACCTGTGGAGTGTCTGTCAGCAGCCATGCTCTATGTTTTACTTGGTAACATAGAGAGCAACGGGGACTTCACACTTAATTTCATTGTTCTTAAGGTTAAGTTTTATGTTCAGCGTGCCCAGTGCCATTCCAGTGAGTGTTTCTGAATTACTGATTTAAGTTAGCCTCGCAGATTATGTTGGTAATGAGCCATACTTACTGGTTAATTTTTTCTTATCTGTTTCCTGAGATTTTACTGTTTTGCCTATCTGTCTTGCACTTGGTATTCTGTCCTACAAATTGACTTGTTTCGTATGCTCTTCTTCCTCTCTTGAATATCTGCACTGTATTAATCAGCATTCTCCTTCCTGCTCTGCATCCCCCAACAGCAACTGCTTTTGCCTTTACTTCGTCTTTCTTTGTTTACTGTCTCCCTCAATATCCTTTCTCCTCCATCCATTAGTTCAGTCAATATTTTTCATTTAGTCTGTTGCTTCCTCTTCTGGCTGCTTTGTACTCTTAATAAAGAGGAGACCTAATAAGGAATTTTGTGATGCTTGACTGTATCATCTAGGTGGCCAATAATTCATTCTCTGTAAACAAGTCACTGTAATGTATTTCTGTATATTTTTCAGCTTATAAATAGGTTAATAAGTATGAAGGTGATGCTACCTTTTGTCAAGAAAGTGCTTTCTCCTATCAATGTATATGTATCAAATCAGTTTTCTCTTTTTTTTCCTTTCTTTATTTCCCTCTCGCCCACCCCGTCCTGCCCCGAAGGTGGAAAGAGTAATCAAAGGGGAGCCAATATTAGCTATGACTCTTAACTACTACTGTTTACATTGTGGAAAATATGAAGGTGAAAGTCTTCCAGGATGGGAGCAAGACAAACTGTTGCCTTCAAGCTAGCAGACTTCGGTAGACACAGGGAATCAGTAGGCAAGATCTCATCTAGAATTGAAGAGAAAAATAAGCAACATTAAGAAGAGAAATCCAAGGAAAACTCTTTTATTCAAGTAACATATAATTTTGAAAGGTCTCCCTTTCAAATGTTTAGAAAAATAGCACTAACGTATTTGTTCAAACAACTATCATTGATGTCCAAAGAGCCTTGGAAATAGTTGCACTGTTACAGCAGGACCAGCAGAGGGAACACAGACGTTGTTTCTTGTAGGATCCATAAAAATAATGAGGAAAAAATCTTAGAAGTAGTAATGAAATGCATATATTTTAAATACTGATGTTTCAGGGGCTGGTATTCTACTCTCATCCCTTGTATAATACTTTTCAAGGTGATTGCATCTTCAGCTGTGATATAGTATATTTGATCCTTCTTCCTCACCACTTATTTTACATTTTTTCCCATTGCTGCTTTTGTTTTGTTTCTATTCTTCTCTGTGTCTGGTGCTGGATGTGTTGGCTTGAATATTTTGTTGGGCAGGAGACATTAAAATAGGCTTTTTAAAGTGGGCTCCTTTTTATCGATAACTTTTTCTATCCAATGGATATCATTTTTACAGTGTCATATAGGCTTTTGTTTTGGTTTGTTTTTTGCTTTAAGTTGTGCATTCTGAAATCTCCTTGCTGTAGTTACCCTGACTTGCTGAAGAGCTTTGTTTCAGTAATAGTTGATTATTGCAATGTGCTCCCTGATAATTTGTAGAAGAAAGACATAATGCACCATGTGATTACAGAGTTGTCCACATGGTAGTAGTTCATGTTAGTAGACTAACATATGGTAAATGCCATTATAAGACAAAAAAAAAAAAAAAGAAGAATACTCTAAACATGGCTAACATTGGTGAGCAGTTTATTCTATGGCACTGATACATGAGAAAGAGGTGAAAGAGTCCAAGAGAAACCAATTTGTCTATTGAGATTCTGTTATCGGAAGCAAATGACAGACACGCACCCCTTTTTTTTTTTTTTCAGCTGTGGGAAGTTTGAGTAAATTAAATTATCAACCATGATAGCCCTATCTGGGGTAACGCACAGGGGTGGACTTTTTAAAAAGCATGGCAGAATTTTAATGTGCATGCCAGTGAAGCAATTACTCCCATCACTAGATTGGACTATCTGATTTAGTGTGTCAGGTTCTTTAAATGAACATGATATGCCAAATGAACTAATGGGCACAAATTGAGCTTGCATCCTGAGTTTATTCATCACTTAATAAATTATTTCTTTGGCTAGCTTTCAATTACCAGGAATGGAAGAAGCAGATGTCTTGGGCATCAAATATCCCAGCATTAAGCGTTTCATTTGTCTCGCTGTTCAGTAGCTGCATGGAGGCGTAGAAATAGTTTGAAATTTTACGCTGGGAAAAGCTGACTAGAAGACAAGAGTCATTTAACTTGTCATTAAACATGATGGAACAGACTGATGTGACCCGTGAGACAATTTATATTATTGGCTTCTAATCAAAAGGTAGAAATGACCTGTCAGACAAATTTGACTATGATGGGTTATTAATTGTGTCAAAGTTATGGAAACAATTCTATTCTCTTTGTGGCTCCTTGTTTATTTGTTCTGACAAATGCCCCCAACTCTGAATAAAAAAAAGATTTAAAATAAATTGTTCAAACAGTTAGTGAATTGATTGCAACCTGAAAGTTGTTTGCCGTGACTGATCCTAGGACCAGACTCGGGTTTTCTGCACAGGGTGGACACACAGCAGCAAGGACGGCTCCAGTCACACTTACAACCTCGGTCCCCCTGGGGCTGCGACCTCCCCAAGTCCCCGGGCTGTGAGCACCTTCGCTTTGGCATGGGTTAGTGCAGATCTGAGGCTATTCCAGCAGATGCCAGGTAGCTGTAGACAGAAGTTCTTATGAGAACAGAGGACTGCTTCAGGCATCCACCTTTCTTCTCAGCTAGTCCCCTGCACCAGGAGCTGGTGGAAAGGCCTCTTTTACCAGAATAAGATTAATTCATACCTGCCTGGCACTGCCAGAGAGAGCCAAGTAATCGAACTTGTTTGTTCCTTTCCGAACACTATTCTTATGTAAAAGCAAAGTATCCTTCCCAGCTCATTCAGGAGGTGAGTTTGATCCCGTTGTTGGATAAATCCCAATAATCTTGATTTGTCAGGAGTAGGGAAGTTGCCATCCTATCTGGATTGCTCATGCAGGGGTGCAATGCTTCCATTTTCCAGTCCAGAGGTGCTCACTCTTCATCTGTTGTGAAATGATTTCTGTGCAGTGTTTGTAAAGCACTTTGATATCCTCTGTAGATGAAAGGTGTTATATAAATGCAAATTTCATTCCTTTCATTTCAATTTCATTTAATAAATAAATAAATTGTTCAGGTTTTAGTGGGAAGGGCGTTCTGAGACCTACTACTGCATCTGTATTCTGGATATAGCTGTGGAGAGAGGTTAAGGCCACAGATTGTCTTTCAGAGCCTAACAGAATTAATTTTCACTTGTACAAAAACAGATTTTTGCAGGCTGGATAATAATTAAATAAGTGACGAATCCACTGGCTCTGTTAAATTGGGTATCTCATCCCTATGAGTAAGGAAACAGAAAGGATGCATTGCTCAATTAGCATTTTAAATTAATTTTTCAAGGCTATTTACTGAGGAAACTGAAATTTTAATTAAAGTAGCAAATAAAGTAATTCACTCAAAAGCTTTATGAGATTCTTTTTTCTGTCATATTGAAAAAAAATCCAGTGCTTAAAGAAATGTTTTAAAGCAGGAAAAATTATATTTGGAGTAAAGAACAAGTAGTTTCTGCAAAATACTGGGGTTCTTTCAATAAGTAAATGGTATTGAAGTCAATGGGTGATGAGGGTGGTAGATATTTCATAATAGTGTGTCCTAAAAATGCTGTGGTCAGAAATATAGCATATTTATTTGAAAAAGATGTAACCTAATAGTAGAAGAGATTCCCGTGAATGTATTCCATATGGTATTTAATTAATGGCACCTACATGGAGTTGCAGATAAATTTTTTTTTTTTTTAATTGATGAAAGGGACTGGGTCTAAGAGAACAAGTGTGGAAAATAAGAGTACCTCTTTTACACAAAACTATTATTATTATTATTATATGGATTACAAATGTTTGATTTTTTAACAGGTTTTTTTTTTTTTTGCTTTGGATGGTTGATACTGCTAATTCATGGGGCTTTTGTTCCTACTGCTGGAAGCTTGCTTTTTTTAAACCATTTTACTACTGTTAGAAACTGTTGCTATCAGTAATTGGCAGCACTGTTTCAGAGCTCTTCAGACTGTTCAAAAAAGGTTGATCTTTTTGGTAATAGATAACTATAAAGTCTTCCAATTTATGGTGAAATTGTGTGTGAATGGGAAAAGAAGCTCTTAAGCTGTTGGAATACTTAATATTGTTGAAATAATTGCCTTGGTCCTTAATAGTTGAAACATATATGCTCAACAAATGATTAATTAAATTATAAGCTTTTCTTTTAAATTCAGGCTATTGGTACCAGAAAGGAATTAATACTGTATAAATTAGTACACATAACTGAATATATAAAAATATTAATTTTAAATTTATTGCAGCTTGGACACCAATGTAAATCAGCTTGCTCAGAAAGTGCTTTGCAGCTACGCTTTACTATTAATTTACTAATTATTACTATATTACTAACTACTGTATTCCCTAAAATAAAGTTCTAGGGAGTAGAAATGTTTCCTGCTCATGCTAGACTGGGAGCACATGGAAATGCCACATGGTTGGGGGTAAAGGGCCACTGTGTGTATCGATGCAATCTGGGGAAGGGATTTAGGTTACCAAACTGCGGAGGGGGAGCACAAATATAAGCCATAAGACTGTTGGCATTAAGTGGTGATCTTTTTAAGAATAGGAGTTGATTTAGTAACTGCCAGTAAAGACAAGTCATCCATGACCTCTAGTGCTTTTTTTTTTCCTTGATGGTTGCTTATCACTCCTTAAACTGGGGAGGAAAAAAACCCCAAACCAAAATGTTGTCAGCATTTATTTACTTCCCAGCTGTAGCACTTGCTATTGCTGTGCCTTCATGTGCTGGAATTAAGTGCTTCTTAATGAAATTTTATTCCCTGTAATAGTATTTTAAATTACAAATGAGTCATGCCTTAATTGTGGTTGATAACAAGCTTGGAGTTTCTCAGTACAGATCATGCCTCTCAGTCATTTGTTTTTAGTTTCTAGAAACCTTTCACGGTTTGTTAATGTCTTGAACTGATCAAAATATTCTTAGTTCTGCAACCAAAATATAGAGCATGGGTTTTTTTGATAGTCAGAAGACTGTTCTTGGTTTATGCTTAATATGAGCCTTTAGAAAAGTAAGGAATGAATGGGTATTGCCAGTTTGCTTTAAAACTTGCCTCCTATCTTTTTTCCAGTTTCCTTTTGGCAGACGCTTGCCGTGCGATATCTATTGGCATGGGGTATCATTTCATGATAATGATATATTCTCAGGTCAAGTCAACAAGTTTCCAGGTACCTTACCTCTGTTTCTAGTTTAAACAAATGCTTTAAGAACATGATTATTTTAACTGTTTCTGTGTTTTACTGTTTTTTGATGTGAATTATCTGCCTAATCAACTGATAGTATTTTTAGCATATTACCATTTTTGGTAGGTGATTTCTGCTTAGGGAGTAAGAATATCAGAATGGGTGTCTCAAACAATTTCTGAACCGAAATTTGTTTTGGAGAGGAAGCGTTTTTGATGAAAAGAGTACTTAATATGTATGAATTTAAGAAAAATAAGACTGTTAGGCTATAATTTAAGTGAAGTGTGCAATTATTGTGTGTTATCTAGCATTGATAACAGTGCTGTGTCTTTGGATTTGGTTTTGATTCAAAGTGGAAAGTATCTGTTTTGTTGTTTTGTTTGGTTTTTTTTTTTTTTCATACTCTGGCCTTTCTCAGGGAGAAGCTCAAAGCGAAGTTCCTCAAATGGATTTTTTTAATATTGAAGAGTTCGTGTCAGCCCTCATCTTATGATGACTCTTCTACTTTTTTAAGCTCCCTTTTTTTCTCGTTTAATCCCTGTTGAGATCTCTCTAAATAAGAGCTAAGAGCTTAGGTATTGACTTATCTAAGCCCTTTACTTCAGATTTATTGCTGCTGTTAGTATGCTGTGAGAATAAGAACCCTCAGATATCGAACTTCATGCTTTATTTACCCTGAATTTCTCCTGTCTGTGGGAAGTTCACGTTCAAGTATCAGATGATATAGTTTTCTGGTGTTTTAAATCTGTGTTAGATGAATGTTACTCTCTCTGTATTCTGGCTTCTAGGTGGCTGGCACAATAATCAAAGCCAGAGAGTCCTTCAGAACTAGGCCTGATTTCCAGGAACATTGAACTAACTTGATGCTGGGTATTACTAAATTCTTCCTCTTGAAGAAGAGGTCTTGATGCTTCTCTTAGTTACTTGTGAGACATTCAAAGAATCTGAAAGGGTTAGTCCTCAGAAAGACTTGGAAACTTTTCCATAAAAATAGATTTTTAGTCATGTTCCTGATGGAAATAAGACTTCCGAAAATGTGTGTGTGTGTTCCCTGTCACTTTCTGTCCTCCTTGTATCTTTGGAATCTCCTGGCCAAAATCAACTGAGCTCGACAGCGGTTTGCAGTCACAGACTACTGAGTTCCCGTAGGTTTTGTGGAAGTTTGCTGACCATGTAGCAAGGAAGCCCACAGATGATGTTCTCCCCAAGAAAGAAACTGCAGCATGAACTAAGCTGTCATACTTTAAAGCATATAAACAACATGGGAGTAACCCTGAATGCCCTGACCTTGGGAAAAGCTTCTACCAGAGCGCTCTCAGATCTGGAAATGGCATGATCCAAGCATGAGATTCACAGCTGCAGGAAAGCAGCTAAGTTTGGCTTCTCACAAAATAACCTATTCTTTCTGACGTAGTTACTTAAATGAATGCAAAGTAAACACAAAGTGGTTGATTACATTTAAATGACATTTTTACCTATTTCTGGAACAATGGCAGGCTAGGGCAATAATTTTGGATTATAGCAAAGACAGTAGTTACTATTCAACTAATGTTTTCCCTCTGTTATTCTGAGCTGTATTTTTATAATTTTTTTATTCTAATATGATACAGCAGTACATACAATATGAAATATGGCAGGGGAATGTTACAAATATTTTGTCAGATTTTAAATTTTAAAAGGTTTTCAGCTTTATTGAAAGCAATGACTAGAGAACCTACCAGTAGGGTGAGTAATGATATAACAATTTACTTTTAGGTTGAGCCTTCAGTGTGGATTTTTCATCACTTTTAGACTCTGTCTGTTCTTTTCACAGGCATGACAGAGATGGTACGTAAAATTACACTGAGTCGGGCAGTGCGAACAATGCAAGATCTATTTCCCCTTGAATATAACTTCTATCCTCGATCCTGGATTCTGCCAGACGAATTTCCCCTCTTTGTGGCTGAGGTAGATTACTTTTTCTCTCAGAGTAGTGTAACTTCTTGGATATTGTTGCCATGTCATTCTTAAGTTTTTTTTATACCTACCAGATTATTTAAAATGACACTTGGGTGCTGTGGATGACATCTTTTTCAGTTTGCCTGAGACCAGACTTTTGTTTGTTATGTTCTAGAAAAAGCTTAAAAACAGTTACGCTTCTCTGCAATGCCAGAAGAGATGTCTGCAAATTAAACACGGTAGAACCATAAGCCCTTTCCCTGCATATTCTACTGAGTTTAAAAGGGCTGAGGAGGTTCCAGTACAGTAGTGTGTGGAGTGTGGTACTTCACTAGGTTCATTGTCACTGAAGTCTTTTTAGTCCATTCTGCCTGTTTATCCAAATCTTTCAAAACAGCAGTTTGTACTGTGTGTTGTTAAATATAATCACATCTTCCTGAATAATTGTTTGATTTAATCTCTTGTCAGACTGTTGCTTTGTTTAAATATTCAGAGTGTAATAAAGTACCATTCTTTTTTAGCTTTCTTGGAAAAAAGTGATGCTGTGTGTTGATGTTTGGTTCTGTTATTACAAATATTTTTTTAAATATTGTATGTGTTTGTTTTAACTCTGACTCGCCCAGTACATTCTTGTATTCTACAGTATCCTCTGCTTGGAAAAGTGACAGAAAAAGTATGGACTTTAAGAGACTTCTATACTGTGTGTACTTTTTGGATAATTACCATATCCACAATCCAGTTAAATCTATGAACATCTTTTAAAATACACTCTTCATGTGTGCTGGGTCACTGCCATGGCACTGCTAGTAACAGTAAAAATGAGTAAAATCCCAACAGTACTTCAGCCTTATTGCTTTAGTTGCAAGACCAGTTTGTAAAAGCAGTGTAAATTATGCAGTCGATTTAGCAATGACAGGTAGATAAGTGCAAATAACTTGGAAGTAAACTTTCAAAATGGTGCACTGGAGTTCTAGCAATGACTCTTTCGGGAATCGTGCCCGTCTCGGTTACAAGGCGCTGATTAACTGAGCAGCGCGTAGCAATGTGGTCTGTACATCAGGTTAAATGCACACACCCGCACGCTGTCAGCAGGTGGCACTGCAAATAAATACTTTTCTCTGGTTGAACGGTTACTGGAGTAAAAACGGTTTGTTTTTTGTTCCAAGAATAACAGATGTCCAGTAACACACTCCTAGGAGTTTCCTTCGCATATGTTCTTCCATCTGTGTTTGAGAATAGCATAGTTCTTGTTATCAAACATTATATTTTATGTTGTAAGAGTTTATGTTCTACTTAACACAAGTTTGTAATGTAACCCCTCCAAAACAAGAAAAAATAAAACAAAAAATTCCACATCCACTGTGAACCATAAATGGTTCAGAACACTTTTCAGTTGCAGTTTCATGAGTTCTGAGTAGGAGGTCTCCAGCCTTTTCTGTTGTTTTTCTTCATATGTGGTTTTGTTTGCTTTACAACCAAGGGAACCTAATGCTGCTGAAAATGTTAGCTCTCTGAGACTCAATATTCAGCCTATTCACAAACAAGTGCAATACAGCATTGGCGGTGCCTGCATGTTAGACATACCCCTATAGAAACTGGCATACACTTCAATATATGAATGCCATGTGTACATTTATCTGAGCAAAAGATGATTTAGCCATCTCTGGTATTTCTGGAAGTAAAGCTGTATTGTCATGGGCTGCAGCTCCTAAGTATGTAGCTCTAGGTGTGTCATGCTGAAACTCATTTTGTTGTACCTTCACTATTACTAGTATTCAAGTCCTTTAGAGCATAGTTAATTACCAAAAGTCACAAATTCAGTGTCAGTGTATGTATAGGTTAGACATGAGAAGATGGTTTGGTGCTGTTTGTAGTATAGAATTTTGTCGCAAAGGGCTGGACTGAGAAATGGACATCTATGAGATTTTGCCTGTAATAGAAATGACTATTGAAAGAAGAAACTCCTTGAGAATGTAAATCTCACTGCCTCCTCTTGAAGTGCTACAACATTTCAAAATAGTTTCTCTCTCAAGTATTCATACTCTGCCTCACTTCTCTAGACATGATTGTGAACTTTTATTATACATTTGTATCAATAACTAAATCAAATGCTGTCAGCTTTTCCCACTTTCCCCTATACCTAAATCCAGGTAGAAAACACTACAGCTAATCAAATATTAATCTTCTGTGCTTTAAAAGCCACTAATTGATGAGAAAGCTGCACTCTTGAGTTTGTTGTGGGTGAGCTTCATATTGGGAAATGCCAACAAGATGGTAGTTCCCTTAGTGTCATTTGTATTGAAATGAAATGGTGATAGGTATTTTTAACAAGGGCTTAAAAATTCATTTTACTGAGTAAATGTATGCTTAGCTACTTTCAGAATTCACTTATTTTACCTTCTAAAACATTTTGTACTAACATATCACTGTAACAGAAGATTAATTACAGATAAGCAAATCTCGCAGGTGCTATGGTAATCACCCCTTCACTAACAGAGAAGAATCTGTTGGAATCTGTGTGCTAAGAACTTATTTCTAATAGGAAATTCCAATTTCTAAAAAGTAACTAGCTTAGGATTCAAACCAGGACCTTGATTGCTCTCATACTACCTTTTTTGTGTTGTCTGTGAGGATGATGAATAGGCCTAGTATGATTAATTTTTAATAAGAATCTAATTTGGACAGTCTCATTTCTAGCACAGCGTATTTTTGGTGGTTTAATCAGGTTTTCAGCGTTTGAATACCTCTTAGGCATAGACATGAATTTTGTAGTCTTTGTGCTGTCAAATCTTATAGCCCATTACATGCTTTTTTTTCAGAACACTATATTAATTCAGCCTGTGTTTCCTCATGAAAGGCAAACCTGCAACTGGATCAGATTTTCATGCCTTTAAACATCATACTCTCCTCTTGCTGTTGACTGTAAACAGTTAACATGTTTTTAAAGATAATTTCCTTCTGTCAAGCTAAGTACAAAGAAATACTTCATTTCATATGAACTAATTTTCCTACATGACTGAATCTTCTAAGTCTGGACAAGCTTCCTCATAATGAGAATTTGAAAGAACATAGTTGAGGGGATTGTGGAGAATCTGAAGATGACTGTCAGGAATTTCCTTGAAGATCAGGAAACCATCTGCTTCAAGGCAGTCAATCTGCTGAAAAACAGACTGACTCTGGATTACTGTTCCCCCTTTCCCCACCATCCCATCTTCATCTGCCATTTATAAGTTTTGATGGACTAGAAGGCCTGAATAATGTCCAGGTCTTCTAGTCCATCAAAAAATGGACTAGAAAATGATGGAGAAAATTATTTCTTTTCCAGATAAATGGAAAGAGTTAAGTATGAGATCTGTGAGAGTAATGATTGTTAAAATGCAGTACTTCAAAAGCAGGTTGCTGTTGCATCTTTAACAGTAGTCCCCAGAAAGCATTACCTTTTTTGAAAAGGTGCTGCTGTAGCAGAGCAGAAGTAGCCTGAGGTGTGAACAACAGGCATGGGAATGGGAGGCAGATTGCCCCAGCTGATCTCAGAGAGGTTCTTTATTACTTTCTGCCCTAGTAGACCACGATTGTTGCTTCGTATGTACAACTAGAGTCATAGTAGGGTATGTTTAGTCATAGACTTTTAAGATTAACCAGGTAGCTTTCTGGGATGCTAAGTTTAACAACGGTGAACCAGAGAAACTCCTTTAGTATGCAGAGTAATGTCACGTCAGGGGAAGATTATTCATTAGTGGTAGAAAGACTAAGGCATAAATCCTGCCTTCCTTCTTTGTACATCTAGGCCTGCTGATCTACTTGGACCTATTTATCCACATGCTGTTTATGTAAGCCTGATCTCCATTGTGGCGTTTTATCCCTCAAAGTGACCTATTTTGAAGAAGGATCTTTCATTGAGTTAGTGTGACACTTGTCCACGAGAAAAATCCTAGTCTAAATAATTAATCTTGAATTTCTGCAGTAGCTAGTAGGACGGCTTTTAGCAATGTGGTTCTCAATGAAGTGAATGACTGGACAGGATGGAGCCAGAAGTCCTTCAGGCCTTGGGAACATTGCTGCTAGCAGAACCCTGTCTGCATCAGCAGCCTAATGTAGTTGCAGGAGGGGGTGTTGTCCAAAAATCACGATGATCTGACCGGCGCTCAGCCTTTTCCTGTGCGTTAATTTTTTTCTCTTTCATTCTAGAGTGCCATGGCTGATGGTGGCAATTGATTGTTTTTTCTTTGTTAGCTTGTATCCTCAGGCATCTTAAAGTCAATCTTCAGTTGTTGCTGGTGAGCTGCAGGCCTGTGTAAAACCAGATCCCTGACTTTGTTCAGCATGGTGCTGGCTGAATGGAGAGAATAGCAGCTGCAGGTCTGGTGCCATAAGACATGTGAATGCAAGGAAAGAGTGGTCTGTACTGTGACATCCCTCCGTTTTGAAAAGAAGAGATTTTAAGTGCTTTATTCTTCCGAATCCCGTGAGTAGCTGATAAACGTGCTAGTCTTCATCCTGCGTTTTCTTTAGCTGCATTCTTTGTTAGGACTGCCAGGGCCAGTGCTGTTAGGAGTTTCATGAGCTACAGTCCTTCAGCATCTGTTCATTGAAACCTGGATTTTTATAGTTGCATTTTGATAAATTACAATTTGTGCTCTAACATTTGATTTCCTCCTAAATATTTGTGAATGTAGTACTACTATATTTACACCTGTAGGGACTTTTGCTGTTCTCTGCATGTAGATGTAGAGCTGGGGGAGCTACAGAGGCTTCCTTACTAGGGTCCTGTTGCTTTACCATGAACTTAAAAGGCTACCCAAGAAGGTAATGCATCAGTTCATTTTCCACTGCTTGCTCAGTCCTTGACCTCCAAACCAGTTGCCAATTAATACCAGTTCCCTTCGGTTCTCTTTCTGTTCTTGGTGTGTGCCAGTTGCATCACTACATTCACATTCCACTTGCCAAACAGCTTCCGATAGCTGTGAGCACCACTGGTGCTGACGGGATTCGGAGAGATGGCAGACAGGTCTTCAGTCATCCTGTACCTCAGGTAGCTGCTTTTTTCCTCCGATGCTTCTGAAAGCTGAGACACATTAACTCACTGGCTTAAACATGCTCATATTCTTTCCTTGCTGCATGTTGTAAAACTTGCCATATTTTATGAATAGTTTTTAAAATTCATCTAAGATGACTCTAAATCCTTTGTGACTTTCTTTCTTTCTTTCTTAATTTCACTTCTACTAATTGAGGCATCCAAATCTCTGCAGTTCTTATTTTTGCTATACAAGTAATAAAATAACTAAAATTTATTTAGGCAGTGGGAGATATGCATATAACATGAAAGATCTGATATTCAGCAGATGTGTCAGGCCCTTACAGTGACCTAGTTACTGTCTTCATGATTTTTTTCATCCTCAAATAAAATGCATTGAAGCTTGCAAAGTTTAGGTTTGCTTCTTGGGAATGTGAACTTTGTAGGCTATTTAGATGGTGTAATTGCTCTTTTCTCTGATGTAAAAAAATACCCTAATTATATTGATTTTTTTTTTTTTTTTTTTTGTGTGAGAGAGTTTTGAGTGAATATATGCTGTTTACAAAAGTGCAGATTTGAATCCAGCAGTTAGTTATTGGTGCCATGTTTAATTCTGACTCACTGTATCCAGCTGGGAATGACATTAGCCTCCAAATGTTCCCTGCTAAATGAATGTATCAGTTTAACATGTTCAAAGGCCAAAACAACCTTATTACAATAATCATGTTTTGGATTGCCAACTATTAACATGCTGTTCCAGGTGGGATTATTTAAGTTTCTCACAGATAAGGTAATTGAATCTTTAGGAAAGAAAAATGGCCATTTCCCTCTTCTTTTTCCCAAAATTTTTTTTAGTTTTACTTCTTATGTAACTCCCATTAGTTTGTTAAAGCCAAAAAATTCAAAGATATTTATAGTTGCTTCCAAGAAGCTAGTTTCTATAAAAGGCTGTTGTCTGTTATATTGCCAAGCCCTGTTTATGCCCCAGAAATCAAGCTGCTGATGTCAGTATGAAGAAATGACAGTGGGGTCATTATGAAGAAATGGGATTGAGCAAAAAGTTCAGATTCAACTGCCTTTTGAATTTGAGACATTTGGATCTAGATCTGAGTTGTAGAACTTTTTCTTTTTTTCCTTTTTATTCTTCTCTCTTGGTGTGTGAGGATGCAGACCCCTCTCTATAATCCTATAATTCTCTATAATTGAGTTTTGTGCTTCATCTTACTAAGGCCACATCAGTGATTCTGTAGGACAGTTAGGTTCTGACAAATCATGGGTACTTCCCTATCACTGTTGTTATAATTTCTGTTTGTGGTAAGCCATTTCCCTTATACACCCCAAGAATCTAGGGCACAGTATGGAAAAAACCTCAAGGTATGCCTTATACTGTACTCATGGATATCTACAAAGCAATGAGAGAACTGGATACATGAGTATCAAGGTCCAGGCTGCTGTAAACAGTACAGAAATAGGTCATATAGTCCTCCAATGACATTCTTACAAAGTATTGAAGTTGACTTTAACAAACAGAGATCTTTCATGGCAAGGCACTACAATGGAAAGAAACTGATACTGAAAGGTACTGATTTGCTAACCTTCTCCACTGCCCCCTTTCTCCTTTTTTTTGCTGTTTCTGTGTCTTGATGATCTTTATATACATGCTCACAGCGTGTTAGTAGCTGTCAAAACTTGTTACCTGCTATTTTCTTTCTAGTGGGGGCATCTCCCATCACCCCATACATAGTAAGCTCAATTGTCAATGTGTGTCTTTTGGAAAAAATGTTTTCTGGAGTAATTCTATTAATTTAACTTGTTAGCAGTAAAGAGTATTTGACAGCTTTTTAAGAAATCTGCGAAATGAAAGCATTTCTCTGTGAAAAAAGTGAAATGTATCTTGTGTAGTGACTTTTCTAAGCATTTTTGCATATTAAAATACATTATGCTGGTAGATGTTGGTGTTAGCTGTTTGCAAGCTCATACACTAGAGCGCACTGTGTTTCACACTGAACCAGCATAGCAGCAGTGAACGTCTGAACACAGATTGAACATCTGCACTAGCTTGAGGAAACAACAGGCCAGGCATGGAGTGCTTTGTAGATTCGTCCAAATGATTTGATACAAAACACCATCAAATTCTCCACCAGCTTCCCTCCCTTTCCTGATTTCACACTAGGTACCTCTAAAGAAAGCATCTGAATTGTCATGTGCTATGAATGGATCTTCCTAATACAAATCAAAGCCACTGAGAAGAGTTGTTGAAATCATGATAGAATTTGCTTTATCTTGCATTTGATAGAAAGGTACTAATTGCATGTCAGTGAGGTGAATTCTGGTATAATTTAGAAAACCCTTCATTTTGGGGAATGGTGGTAGGTAGCAACTAAGGCATAAACTCTATGCTTTGTTTAGTAAATTTGTGGTATTTGCTTATACCTGTACATGGCTCAATATTCCCTAGTTTTACTAACACTGGGTATCTGATTGTGAAGGATATTCAGTGGTGGGAAGAGGTATTACCAGTGCCACATTTTTACTTTATCTTTCCTTCTTCCCATACTGTTTGTCTGCATTCATACCTCAATAAATAAGGTGCCTTTCCTTAGGTTAATGTTTATCTTTGTCAGTCGTTGTTCAAAATGGAGTACGCAAGTTTAACGTTGCTGTTTCATATATATTAGTGACTAATAAAATGGATGTCATGAGATATACAGCATTTCATTCTGTAAATTGGTACATAACATTATAAAGAAGTTCCTGAAATCATTTATACAATGGCCTGTTAAATAAAATGACCTTTTATCTGTACTAGTAATTTCCTACTCATGCTTTTCTGTTTGTCTTTGTGCTTGTCAGCACTGTTTATCTTCTACATTTTTGCATGGCGTTTACTACTATCGTGATCATGTTATTTTTATTTATTTTTGCTTATGAGTGGAATTTGTTGGCTTTCATAGTACTAGCCCTTCTTCCCCCTGCAATTAGTGTCTTTCAGTGTAATTCTTTTCCTTTTAGGTTCGTATGATGAAAGACAGTGATCCATCCTGGAAGCCCACTTTTATTGTAAAACCTGACGGAGGGTGCCAGGGGGATGGAATCTACCTCATTAAAGACCCAAGTGACATCAGACTGACGGGAAGCATCCAGAGCCGGCCAGCTGTGGTCCAAGAATATATTTGCAAACCACTGCTTGTCGACAAACTGAAATTTGATATTCGTCTTTATGTCTTACTGAAATCTTTAGAACCCTTAGAGATTTATATAGCCAAAGATGGACTTTCTAGATTTTGTACAGAGCCCTATCAAGAACCCACTTTAAAAAATTTGCACCAGGTTTTTATGCACTTAACCAACTATTCACTAAATATCCATAGCGGGAATTTCATCCATTCTGACAATGTAAACACTGGCAGCAAGAGGACTTTTTCAAGCATTCTGTGCAGACTGTCTTCCAGAGGAGCTGATGTCAAAAAGCTGTGGTCAGATATAATTTCACTGGTGATTAAAACAATTATTGCACTGACACCAGAACTGAAAGTTTACTATCAGTCTGACATACCAGCAGGAAAGCCTGGGCCAACTTGCTTCCAGGTAGGTTGGAATTTCTGCTAGGAATGCAGTTATTTCTATGCGTGGATTCATCTTCTGGGTGTTTAATTCCTTTTCTAAAAGCTTTCCCTAGTTATGTTGCTGATCACTGGTTGGGTGTAGTGCATACACTGAATAGCATTGTGTGAGCTCAGAGCTTGGGTTCTCCTCACCCAAGTTTTACCTTACAAATCTCAGTCTCTTGACCTGTGTATGTCACTACTAGCCATAAACATATATGGAGAATTTTCAATGGGTATCAATCGTTAGTAGCAGTATTCACTCCAGTTTCCATCTTCTAGATGTTGTAACTACGAAGCTTTGCAGCTTCCTAATGCCGCTATAATGGTGACAGTTTTAAGACCTGCTTGTCATAGGTGCTAAGATTCCATGTTGACAGATGGCAGCATTTAGAGATGGGTGTAGTGTGAAAGTAGCCATTAGTATTGAAGGCAAATGGTTTCAGTAATTATTAAGCGATATAGCATGTTTCTCAGTTATTTCTCTTTTGTCCCTCAAATGTTTCTTCCTCCTGAATGTTGACATGTGGATGACCATTGCATTCTCTAGAAGAACACTGTGAGTGGAACTGAAGTAACGCATTGCTTATTATGCACAGATTTTAGGGTTTGACATTCTCCTGATGAAAAACTTGAAGCCCATGTTACTAGAAGTAAATGCAAACCCCAGCATGAGGATAGAACATGAGCAAGAGGTAAGACCTCTCAACATGATCATGATACTGGAATAGAATTGTTTAGGTTTGGTTTTCTGGTCTTTTTTCCTTGTTTGAAAGATGAAAGCTGTCTGCTAATATGAAACCTCCAAGGTTCTCTGTAATTTTCTTCTTTGAAATCATTACTAATCTTATGCACTGGAAATATGACTTATTGGAATTGTGAAAGCTCTCCATCATCTTTGTCATAAATACATTTATTCATCATCCCCTGCAGTTGACTTACTTGTGTTTAGGGGATTGCTAATAATTTTTTTCATGTTTGCATACATAATATAAATGGTAACATTGGCAACAGTCCTTTTTTAATATTTCAATTTACTAGAGAAACTTGCCAAAAATTGTTGTAATATCATACTGAAAATGTTAAGGTGTTTGTGTATCCTTTAAGAAGTATTTTGTAATCTATCATTGTGCATTTGAAACATACATGACATGCATGAAGTTTGAGCAAATGTGGAATAAATAATCATTAGTTCTATACTGAATAATTGTGTCCCTTTGTAATTTAAAGCTTTCTCCTGGAGTATTTGAAAACGTCCCAAGCCCTGTTGATGAAGAAGTGAAAGTAGCTGTTATCAGAGACACTCTTCGTCTAGTGGACCCTCAGAAAAAAAAGAGAAAAGATATCCAGTAAGTGTGTTGACTTTCTTTGTTTTTTGCATCAGTGCCTTGCAAGCAGTTTAGTAACTCAGATTTATTTATTTGTACTTTGACTTGAGGCCTCTTTTTTTTTTTTATTGAAAGCAGTCATGAGATGTAAATTTGTGTATTAATTTGCTTGAAAGTCACAAATTACTCTGAATGATTTGCCCCATTGGAGCTGAAAAGTATGAATATAGTATTTAGAAATTGCTTCCTTGATCTGTGATAATAAACATAGTTAAATCTATGATCTAGAAACGAGAGGAACTGCCTGAAGCAGCTTGCACAGAAATGCTTGTGGTGGGATCAGGCTGAGAGAAATATCTTCTTTTCTGATGAAACACTTTGTTTTAAGCAGTTCCTTGGAGGCATGAAAGGGAGATTTTTTTTTGTGTGTGTCCCTAGGAATTCTTGCTTGTAGGCCTGCCTCCATACTAGAATATCGATTTTTGTTCTTCTCTTGGCACTTAGTGGCAACCTTAAATATGTTATTCATGTTCTATAATGATTTCAAGTGCAAATTTGCTGTCCTTTTGTAGACAGTCCCATGAACGAGACATGACTGACAATACTTACAAGTTCTGTATTATTGTAATATTATTATAAGATCAAGCTAATCTTTCAGAGGTAGTGCCACATAGAAGTTGCTGTGGTCAGTATACAGAATGTCTTGCAAAGCAACCTGTACTGTGTGTTGCCTGTACTTAATGTTCACCCTTAAGACTACTTCAGTGCATGGAGCTGAAAAAAGATCTTTTTTTAACCTGTAATTATGTAACTAGTCATCTCTTTTTTTTTTTTATACTCAAGTTATGTCAGGCATTCATTAACTACATATTAGATATGGAAAAAAGGCAAATGATAATTAGGAATAAATTCATGGAGAACGCTGGCGTGTGTGGAACTCTCATTCAGCTGAGGATTCTTCTCTGATACATTTTAAGTACTAAGTAATTTTTAACAGGATTAGTTGGTGATGAGATAAACCATTGGCTCTTCACAGCAAGAATTCATCAGTGATGCAGCTTTTTTTCAGAATAATCTGGTTAACAGAGCATCTTGTTGATGAATATCTGCATGTCTTCACCATAAGTCAATCCTATTTCTTGCTGCAAAGGGAATATTCTGGTAACTTTTTGCATGGATGTACAGGAACTCCTGTGTGACAACTGCCCACCTATTCAGCTGAGATTTACCTCTTCTACTTCCAAGTACTTTTTATTAAACTGGGCACGGTGTGTGGAACGTCTTGAGACACATGATCTTACTGTAAGCGTCAAGTAAAGGACCTCACCCTAGTCACCTATGGAGATTTACATCAAAGTAAAAGCATTTGAGAGAGGAACTGAGCACCAGTTTCTTTTGCCTTGTCTTCACTAGCAAAGGTTTTACAATGCTTTCCCTTTGTGTCATTCCTCTCACTCATTTCAGTGCATCTCAACCAGTTCTGACGTGTGCTCCCGCATTCCTTCTCCAAATCCTCCTACCAGTAACTGCAGAGAAATACCTCTGTTTGCAGGACAAAGGTATTAACTAAATAATTGACTGGAGATAGAAAGCTGGATAGTAGTTTACCTAGCCGTTGTAATAGTTTTGCTAGTCTGATTGTATGTGGCAGCAGGGAAAGCAAAATTTGGCCTATTAAAAGAAAAAAAAATCTGAAAGAATTCCTTTTCTGACAGCTAACCAGCAGCAAACGTTACAGACTCTGGTTTTCATGCTAATTAAGTAATGGACATTAATCTAAGTAAAGTTTTAATGATATATATAACACTGAGTTTGAACACACAGGGGAAATACTGCAAAGTCTGAGCTGCATCTCAGGTAAATATTCTGCTGTGGAGATGGATTTGATTTTGCTCTAATTATCTCCCAGATTAAAATAAATGAAGCATCTAAATGAAAGTGAGTTTTAGAAGTCATCCTGAAGTACTTCATTATCAGGAAAGATTAATAGCTCAGAAATTTTTTTAGTTTAATTTTTCCTCATCTTTATGGAGTTTCAATTATTTTTTCCTCCTTCCTTTCATGTGACTTATAATACTGAAATGAAAGTTAAGTTGAATAAGATCAGTTTATCATGCCATACATATCTCTTTTCCAATACAATTCCAGTCTTTACATGCACCAATCACTAGTAATTATCTTGGCATTGGCAATAATTAGTCATTGAAAATATACAGTGATACAAGTTCAAATGAACGTACTTAAATATACTTAGTGGCTGTTGTTGCACAGTATGACTGATCTTTTCTTAATTTTAAGAATTTGTCCTGGCCATTTAAGTACTGAGGTATGTGCTTAATATTTTGTGTATATAACATGTTTTAAACAGAAACTTTAAATGCATGCAAAGATTTTTTATTTATTTATTTATTTATTACCACTGGAATAAATAAAGATATCATTGTGGAAGATATCATTTTGAGGGAAGGCTTTGTGTTACTCCGTGATGCAAAGAACATAAGGAATTAAAATAGAATAAAAAGTGACACAAGCACATGTGAGGCTTTTGGGAGGGATGAGCAGGGTGAGTACTGCACAGCGCCTGCTTTTCCCTGTGATGTTATGCAAGCCCTACCAGACAAATCCTGTATACCTCATACACAGAAGACCTATTCTACACATCAAGATCCTGAAGGCAGTAGGTATCCCTATAGAGATTAATGTCCCGCTTTGCTGCCTTAATTTCCTTGCTGCATCCGAATCCTCTACTTTGGCGCAGTTGTAGTCAAAGTCTGATGACAGCGGAGTTTCCAAGTAACTATTAACAAAGAAATTTGGAGCCATGTACTGCTCTGCAGGGTGAAGATGTATGTCAGCGGCTTGGAGCCTCTCAAGAGGAGAATCTGAAAGCGGCTCTGTGGGTTACTTTGTTAGGCGGTTTTCAAGCCATTCTGTAACCCAGAGGGTGAGTGGTGTCTGGCTTTGCCTGACCAAACAGAGCCTGAGTAGCCCTTTCTGAAATGAAAGAATGCAGCTAATCAACTACATGTTGTGTTTTACTTCCTTGCTCCTCTTCTTTAAAAAAAGAAAAATCCAGCTAAAACTGCATGGTTATAAAAAGGTTTCTGATTTTTTTTTTTTTTAAATTTATTTTTCCTAATGAAATTTTAGAGCCTTTTTTGCCCTAGCTTTGGTTCCTAGACTAGTCCTCTTTTGAACTCAAGTTTCACTCATAATTAAGAAATTAAAACATTTAATAAAATACTATGGAAGATACTAACTCTCTGATTTTGTTTGTGTGGCAGTACTGTTCTCATGGATTTTAAGGCTTGAGTAGATCATTGCAGTCATCCAGGCTCATGACATGCTGGAACAAACACAATCATTTGTGGCTGAGCTGTTTTCTTGGAGAGATGGAATTTTTAACTCCTCTGTAAATCTGTTAAGTATTATTAAACAAAGCTTACTTTCTTCTAGCATTACTACAGAGTGAATTCGGGGGTAGTGATGGCCAGTAATCTTGATTTCTGTTCCGAACATCTGTCACTGCTAATTTCAGAATCATCGTGGTGGGTTTTCCAGCTTACATTTTTTCAGCAGTGGTAGCTCTTTTGAGTTTATGATCTACTGAAGACCTTCAGTACTAGATTAGCCAGCTGGTCATCGTATCATCAGGAGGGAGCTTTCCTCCTTGAGTGAAAAATGTAATGTAAAAAAAGATGGGGAAGTGTAGGGGTTTTTACTTAACATATTCAAAGCACCGTGTAGAGCAGGAGTGGTGTATGTCCCTTTGTAGGACAGGGAAGCGATCGCACTATGCATTTTTATCCAAGTCTGTAATAGGCAACATGGTCGGAAAGCTTGGGTATGCCCAACTTAAAGTGAAATCCTTGTCACGTAGTAGTGTAAGTTAAGGGGTTCGACTATGTTCCATAACGTTTCTACAAAGAAACCTGTATAAAGCTTGTATAGTATTAAATTTGCTCTGGATTTGCTTCTTGCAGCAGAGGTGCTATTCACAGCCTACTGAAGGTGGGAGAAGACTTCAGCTAAAGGAAATTTGCACAGTTAAATGAATGGTCTAATGACACCGAACAACATTTAAAGTAAATCAACGTTACTTATGTAAACAGCAGTTTAATTAAGATAATCACTGATGCAAATCATTGTTTATATTGTGACTCCAACAGAAAATCCATTTTAAAAGGCTTTGCAAACTTCTACTTTTTTGTGCCTGATTTTGAATCTTGATAGTAGTAAAATGTTTTAGTTTCACTGTTTGTTTAATTATCAGATATTTATTCTTTTAAAAATTGCATTAGATTTGAGGAGCAAAAAGGAGTCTCAGTCTTGTATGCAAATATTGTATATTCTTCAGTGGATGTTAGAAGTAAACTATTTGACTGGTGGTATAATTGCAAGCTGTGAGTATCATTTGGAGCTGGTGTGCTCTAAATGTCTTAGGAAGATCATTTATATCATCTCATCAATGCTAATGACCTGCTTTCCTGTCCTGTCAAAAATATTTGTGCCCTAGTTTATTAATGCTAATTAATCCAGAGATAATAAGAGACTTCTTTATATTTTTGTTGCTGCTGTTTATTCTGTGTCCCAGTATGATCTCTTGCATTTACATGCCTAGTTTCTTACATATTTCCAGACAGAAAATAAGCATTTTATTCTTTTGACAAAGAAAGCATAGTACTATGACATGTGTCATTAGAAATATGAGTTGCTCATGGAAGAAAATCTGCTTTTTGCTTGCTAGAGATGATGAAGGTGCAGCCCCCTAAGTAATATAATGACTTTTATTCAGCACTGAAATAGCCATTGACAGAAGAAAGAATTGAAACACTTTGGAAACGAAATGTAATTTAATCTATGGCTGTTATAAAAACAATCAATTCATTGTGTCCACAAAAATGAGTGGGTTTGGTTTATTACCTATTATGGTATTGCTGTTTCATTGCCTGTTTATCTTTTCTTCAGTACTGTTCTCTGTATATACCACTTAAGTGGTTTTTTTTGTTTGAATTCAGCCT